TCTTAAGCATAATTAGAAGAGGCAATATTACACAATTAAGAATAATTCTTTGATAATCGTTGTAGGGATTACAAAAGGTGGGTGGTCGCATACGGATAATTGAAGTCATAGTGGTGTCGTTTGCTAATGGTGACATTGGCAATAATCGCCAGGAACTACACTGGAGTTTTTAAGCTCTTTTAGCGTATAATATCTCTCATATAAAAAAGGAGTCATACTTATAGTCTTTTTGTAAGAGGCATTTTTATAAATTTGGTCAAAATTTAAACACTCCGTCAAAACAATTCATATTGATTACCTTAATTATAAATAATTTATTTAATTTTTTAGTGCCTCAAAGAAGTCATAATTGAATGATCATGGGCTTGTGGGATTCTTCTTGCCGATACGCATGATTTGATTATATGCATTCAAGATTTGAAGATTATTTAGTCCTTTAATTAATATTCTAAAGTTCTTGATAATGTTTTAAGCGTTTAATTTGAGCACAATTAATTATATTCAGTTTGACTATGAGTTTGTTGAAATTACAATTCAAATAGTTCTAAATTTATTTCAAAAAAATTTTAATTCAAAGAACACCTCAAATTCAGGTCGGCAAGCCATTGTCAATGACAACACTAGCCTGCACTACTTAGCATAGGGCATGTCAGCTCTTTGGCGAATTATTACGTCCGATCACCGGACATCCGGACACCCAATCCAGACGCGCCACTTCACTCAAATACATTGGGTCCCGTTGTATTTTGGTGACGTGGCGCATCTTGATTGGTGTCCGGACGAATCCGGACTCTAGACGTAATAATTTGCCCAGCTCTTTAGTTGAGGTGCTTGTGGGGCCTCTTAGTTGAGGTGTCAAAAGGTGTCTTTTTTAATTTTTTTCTCTCACTTCTTTATTTTCTTAATTTTTTTATTTTGATTTTTTTATTTTTTATCTCTCTCCTTCTACGCCGAAGCTAGGAAATATGGAGTGAAATAATACATTAACATAAATTTTATTATCAATTTAAATTTTCTTATTATTACAATAGGGATCATCAATCCCAATGTTGATGACAAGTTGATTTGATGTGAGATTTAGATCCCTTTCAAATCATAGCCATCAAATGTGATGGAACCAATAAGGAATTTTTTTTGTCATTGGCATAGTGATTGTAAATAGGACTTGAGGAGGCAATTAGTTTCCTCCAACTATTGTCTTAATTTTTCTAATCATTTGTTGGTTGACCTACTATTACCTTTGTTGATTTTGCCCCAATGGGATTATTTCTTGTATGAGTAGCTCAATTTCCTCTTTCAATTATCAACATGCCTTACTAGTATGACTCTAAACATGATGGGAATGATAATATCATTCTTGATTTCTTGAATTTAGTTTTAAGGATGAAGACATAACATTATCCTCATCTTGTAAGGCCATTACAATATCAACTCAAAGTGTATTTAATGGCATATATTCCTTCAACTATTTGTATTCCCTCTTTGTTGAGGTGTCCTATATGATCTTTATTGTTGTTGAGCAAGATAGAGAGGAAAGAGATGAATTCTTGATTGTCCATATTTTCTTTGTTGACATTTTTGAGAAAATCTATCGTGAGCATTACTTTGTTTAATAGACAATTAATCATGCTAATTTCAACATGCATAGATAGTAATTTGTTCTTCTATTTTATGAAAAATATATGTATGAGTGTAATCAATATTTTGTATCAATGAGTAGAAAAGTCCAAGACGAAGACCTCGAAGAAAGACATCTTGTAACAATTCAAGATTCACTCCCAAATTTTGATGAGCTTCAGGAAAAAATATATTTGAAAGTACTCTTTTTATTATTTTTCTTTATTTTATCAGATCCTCAAAAAATGAGAGAAATAATCTTTGATGATTTTTAGTGGCGATAAATTGTTCCATAAAACGTCAAAGTAAGATGAACAAAGTTATCAATACTATTGTTGAATATCGAGTAGAACCAGGTGAAAAATTTATCCTTTAATGTAGTAGGAAATACTTGACAATAAAGTGTATCAAAAGCTTGGTAGGTATGTATGATGGTGCTAATAATCAGCTGACCCATCATACTAATCAACAGTGGGAAGCTTGAGCCCACTAGAATAAGATGTTGAAAAGTTTCATTTATTAAAAGTAAAGATTCTTGGAAACTTTATAGAGGATAAAGCTAATTCCTATCCCTCATAAAAAATTCTTCCTGAACAAGACATTATAATTCATCTCATTCAATGTCACAAGGAGGAGTATGCATAAGTCAAGACTAAGTCAAGTCTACTACGATTGGTGAAGGATTGTGCATTGATTGAGTGGCATGAGAATGATGAGTTGAACAAGCAATGCCAACTAGTTTTTTGTTAGTATGGTGGAGGAAGAATTTCAAAGAATTATTTTAAATTGTTCATCCATTTTCTTAGGTTTATTTTATGGTTGATAAGTTTCATTAGATTGTGGTAGCACTCTCTATTAACCAACATCTTCCAAAAATTGAAAGATGCAAGCTTGTTGCTCCTCCATCCTATGTATCTGATCATTCAGGGATGGGTCTGAAGGGCCTACTCTTAATTTATTATGATTTCAATTGTTGTAAAATATATTTTCAATTTGCTAAGTGTTGGAATGAGAAAATTCACCACGAATGGTTTTACTCTTATCAACCATTGTATTGTTAGGATATTGAGATATAATTTCTCATATATAATGCTAAATTGTTATGTGATAGAAAATTTCTAATAATAGTTATCTATTTAAAATCTTGATTTATATAAAGTTCCACATGCATATGTATAATTTGTAAGTGGCTGAAATTTTTTGTTAAAAACCTAAAGAGGGGAAAAATATACTTGGCCCAGTTTCAATAATCTACTATATAATATATATGCAAGAATCTACTTTCTACACAATTAAAGCAAACAAGATTATATAATATTTGATTCTCATAATTAGAATTATATAGGTTGAGTGTCCTTAGACAAATAGTTGAAGTCCAATGATGGAGTTGAATGTTAGTAGTCAGACAATAAGAATTAGATGATAAAATTCTTGTGATGATGGTGGTCGTTAGTGCTCATCCTTGAGGACCAAAACATAGTTCTTAATCAATTTCAACTCCTGAACCTCTCTCCAATGTAAGAAGAAGCTCTATTTATAGACTTTTTGTGTGACGCATTTTGATAAATTTATTAGGAATCCAAAATACTCTATTTAGTATCCCATTTTAATCCCATTTGGTCATAGATTATTTCTAATATTTTTCTTGTTTTAAAATGTTAGAATTGAAAGATAGTAGGCTCATTGAATTCATCTCATTGATGCGCTTGATTTTGATTAAAAGCACCCAAGATTTGAAGACTATTTTGTCATTCAACTAATGTTTTTAAGTTTTTTATTTTGTTTAAAGTGTTTATGTTTATATGAAGTCAGATCATATCACTTGTGATGTTGATGAGTTTGTCTTATCAATTCATTCAGTTCAATTACAAATATACTAATATCAGAGTTTGGATGGTTTTAAATTTAACTCCAAAAGTTTCCAACTTAATTATCACATTGAGATTCATGCCAATTAAGTGATTTCCTTAAAGACGTACTAGTGATGATAAAGAAAATTTTTATAAGGGATCACCACCCACTTTTACAAGTAGCATGCAATCTCATAAGCTATGTAGCATCCTTCCTACTCAAAAGTGATTAAAATTTCAAATGATCGTAGTTAAATTCTGATGTTAATAAGACATCCCTGCCATATGAAATCTAGATAGAACTACCAGACGAATTGGACAATGTCAATATATTTAGTAAATCTTGTAGTCGTAATATATATCCATTTTATGCCAACTTGGGATTCATATAGTGATGACTTCTTATAGGGGCTTCTTAAAGAGACTTTGCATGCTCACAAACCCTCTTAGGGCTCATTCATTAGGAGTCACTCTTAGAGTTTTTTTTTTTAACGGAAGATACCATGTTTACATTCAAGTCTTTTGAGTATCTTTTAAGAACATTTGGATTAGGTAGATACCTGGGTTGCATAACTACCCTCAAGGGAGTTTAGACTTTGAGACTTTTAATGAGGACCCTATTAAGAACTATGAATTCTTAAGGCCTCTCTCACTAGGAACTACTCTATGACTTCTAAACATAAAGTTGCTCTATTTACGTTCTTTGCCTCTTCGGATTACCATTGGGAATAATTATTGAGGTCTTATAGTGAGGATCCTATCTAACACTAGGTGATATATAAGGCTTTTCCTTTAGGACCCATTATAAGGATGTTTAATTATAAAGATAATATATCTACTTTCTTGCCTTAGTTAAGCTTGATCATTGGAAGCACTCCTTTAAAAATTTATTAAGAAATCTATCAAATATTATGTGCCCTCATAAACTTATTAGTGATCCCTCCAAGATCCTTTTATAAAATACTTTATTTAAGAGATGTTGGTGGCCAAACAAAGGGCATCAAAGCATTATTTTTTTTAGAAGGTCATGCTAGGACACACTTATAAAAGGCTAGACTAGTTTGGGTTCCATTAATTGGCAATAGTAGGAAGGCCACAAGGAGGCTACCATTACACAAAGCCAAGGTAAGTCTTTGTACCATATAAAGAAAACGTTAGGAAAAAAGTGATGCTTGTGGTAATGACAATGAAGAGTTAACTCTCTTCTTTATACAAAAAAAAGTAAGATATTGATTGATTAAATAGCTACAAACATCAATTGATTAGTAGAAATCAGAGTTATATAATGCCCTTGCTAGGTGTCAAATGTCCATCATCAATAAACATCATATGTCTATTATTTTCGATAAAATCTTCGTTTGGGACGGCTTTCTTACTAATTCTTAAAAAATTGTTTTAAGAAGCTGCAAAAAAGATTTCCCAAACAAAACCTGAGTCTAACATCATTAGAGAGAATATGATGCATTAGTCACAAAAAATCACCATTATTCCAAAAGGTGTAACTACAAGCAAACCCACAAAAAGTACCTAAACAGTTCAAAGTTATAAAAACTTGGATAAATTAGTCATAAATATTCTGCAGTGCAATCTTACAATCAGAAGGCACAAAGATCCCCAATTCCAACATAATCTATAACTACATTTTACAGTATTTTTTCCTTCGCTGAATCTAACACAGATTGCAAGTCTTTTACAAATGCTAGTATCCTAATCACCACACGAGCCTCAAGGTATACACAGCATGCTCTAGAGAACAAACAAGTTCCTGATAGAATCTAACTGGCTACAACAACAACAAGAAATCTGCTTCCCACTTTGAGCTTGAAAAAATAAAAAAATTACAGAACGATAGTGTCAGCTTCCCAACATATGCTCAAAGCCTGTAGGTTGAAGGGTAGAAACCAAGCTTCCACCTGAAATATTATGCAGCAGCTGCTGAAGCCAACGCCGGGTTGCCACGTCATCCTACAATGATCAGATTCATGATATCAGAAATTTGATTCAAAACCAAAACATTTTAAGGAAGCATATATAATTTGCAAACTTCTTCAGATTGTAATATAGGCTTCGTTTGGCTCGGCTTTCTCACTGTTTGATGAAGCAACTTTTTAGTACAAAAATTAAGGCCTAGTTTGTTTGGGCCATAATTTCTGTCTCCGGTTTGAATCGGCCAAAAAATTATTGTTTTGTTGTTTGTTAAGATGGCTTTTTCAAAATACCTCTCCCGAACCTCCGTATTTTTGCCGATCTGAGAAGAAAAAAATTTATTCGTTTCTCGTTCCGATACTTTCGTTTTTTTTTTAAAAAAGGACCCGAGGAACCAAACGAGCCTTAAAAATTTTTGTACTAAAAAACTGCTTTAAGAAGTAGTAAGAAAGCCGTCCCAAATGAAGCCATAGTACAAAAGTTGCAACGATGAAACATCAATACTGAAAGCAATTTACCGGGAAGCTCGGGCAATGGAATTACGAGGTCAGCTTAAATGAAGAGCCGGATGACGAATTGTAATCTATTTTGATATACTTCAACATTTCAAGAGCCACAGCCAAAGGAATAGGCGCACATCTTTTCTTTGTTTTAACAGTATGAGTTAAAGTTCACTTTATTACAAAATATAGGAGTGCAAGTTTCAAATCTTAATTCGTTTTGCCTAACTAGGAATTATGAAGATATTAAGGAAGAATGATCTTTATTAACAAATTTAAAATAGAAAATCTACTTAATGTGGCCTAAAAAGGACTAGAATTTTGAGGAGATAGAAAGCAACCTACTAGGGTTAAAATAATTAAAAATGTCAAAACATCATAATCAATACATTGCACTACTAGATCCCTAAAAACCCTCATCCATTCAAGGAAAAATTGACAAATCGACAGTTCCACGAGCATGTCCAGTTGGCATGGGTCATTTGGGTTGAACCGGTCTAGGATGAGTTATGCCTAACACAGTCACCTTCTATCGCATTGGGACTAGGCCCAATCAATTGACATAGAACATTATCACGCATATTCCTCCCTTTCACAAAAGCAGTTTGAGTAGAAGAGAGAAATTTTAAAACGATAATGACTAAATTGTTGGTTAGTAACCTAGTGACTCTTATTCAAAACTTTATACAATTTCAACGGCCTGAAATCACACCAAAATTTAGATCAATATAATTAGCATATGATGCTTGTTAGGATATAATATTAGAAAAATCAATGTATAAAGAGAGTACAATATTTAGAGAAGAAATGCATTGATTTTCCCCTGTGACGCACTGACACTCCTTCATAAGAGGGAATGCAATGTCAAACACGTGTCAGACATAGACACGCGCTCAACAAGAATGGGACATGTGTCGGACACGACAAATTTGAGTCGGATTAAAATAATATTTAAATAAAAACAGACAAGTGTGTCCTAATATTTGATAATTAAATTTATTTAAATTACAAAAATTTTACATTTTAATGATATTTTAATCAAATAAAGAGTGTTTAGGGACCATTCGAACTATCCATGAATACGTGCCAGACTGTCCGTATGCCTAAGGGTTTCAATTTACACCGCTCTCCCTCATCTTCTTCCCTTATCTTCATCATTTACGCGACCAGGCGAGCCAACCGAGTGGAGAGAGTGCACGATTGACGCCCGTAACCTCCTTGTTTTCTCTTCTTCGTAAGTTCTTCTTCTCTACGACTCTTCGTTATCTCTGTGACGAGGCCAGCCCAACTTAGCAGTATACTGCTCTATTTTAAGCTTGGCATGTTTGACTACAACCGTTTTCTCGCCATTCTCTTCACTCGTTTGGTTTCTCACTGGTTCATCTTCGCCATTTATTGCAATCACCGAGGGTATCGAAGGGTTCCGACTCTTGTGTTCGCTCTATCGAAGCCAACGGAGAGAGAGTGAGATGGATACGTTCAATTAGAGTATAGATTATCGACTTCTTTATTTCCGCAAGCAAGTGAGCAAATTACACCTTACCAATTTATTTGATTTTTTTTATTTTCATTTTTTCTTTTGAAAACATGCCATATTTATTGAGATTGTCGGCTTTATATGTATATCCATTCTCCACGTTTATTGTCTTCTTATGAAAGGTTGAGATCATGATATTCCTATTTGGGTACAATTTCAACTTGTGAATATCTTAATCTCCAAATCACATAAAAAATTATATATAATAGTTCTCTTTTTTGTATGCAAGTTTTACAAATATAATTTCAATTTAAGAGATCAATTGGTGCTAGACAAGTAATTATTACATTGATTTATTATTGTTTTCCATTTCTAATATGATAATATATCAATGTCAATACACTAATTAAAAATTGTAATACCGTGTCTGCATTGTACCCCATGTCCTATATTTTTTATGATGGTCGTGTCCCGTGTCCATGTCGTGTTTGTGTTCGCGCATCATAGATTTTCTCTTAATTATTATTATCTTTTTATTCTTCCAATTATATTTACCCTATATACCTATAATAAGCACCATTTTCAGTGAATACATTATCCAATTATCTCACCATAAAATGGTAACAAAACTAATTTGTTGCTTTAATATCCTTGCATCTCTCCTTAATTGTACCCACCACCAAGGAAAAAATCTCTCTGCTAGCCTTTGAACCCTCAAGTCACCAACTCTTTTATATTTACCTCTCTTCCATGCGCCCTCCTTACGCGCTCACAAGTTCCAATTCCACGTTGATAGTCAATTTTAGGTATCGTCTTTGTGTATCCTAAAGCTTGCTCGCAAGTCATGCTTCCACACTTGTGCCTTAGCCGCACATGTACTAAACCTCTCTTCCATGGACTCAAATTAAATATTTTGTTGAGGCTTATCTTTCACAGATCACCCCTTGGTTCTAGTTCTAAGTATCGCTTGGCCTTATTACTTTTTATCTCAAGCCCACATATTTAACAATCTAAACTTAAGTTTCCTAAATTTTTAAAAATTTACCGAAAGAGCGCTACAACGATGCTGCTCTAAACTCTCTAGTTTTCTAGAATTTGAGGGCGGCGAGTTAGAAAATTTACATACATATAAAATATCAAATTCCATCCACTTAAACTCTTACCACAACCCTCCCCCTCCATCTCCCTTTTTTTTTTTTTTTTTTTTTTTTTTTTTAAGAGAATGAAAGGGAGAGAAAGAAAGAGCAAAAGAGAGAGAAAGTGCGCTTCGGGGCAGTTTCACTTGTTGTTTCAGTTGAGAAAAGTGTTATGATTGTGGAAGGTAATCTTAATCTACCTTTGTTTTCAATAATTTTATGTTTTGTCTATTTTCCTTTCTCCTAAAATTAATAAAAACTCAATATCTCTTATTTTAATGATTTTCTACTATGTAATTTTTTATATGTAATAAATATCATTATCCTGAGCATTGTGACTGGTTAAAATATTGAAATTTCATCGAGTGATTTTATTTATATGTCATTTCAATTGAAATGAGTAGTATAATGTCAAGATAAAATGATCAGGAGTCAATATGTTACTTTTGAACAAGAAATAAATGATATGCATACATTTATTATTCATTTAGTCAAATATGCATTTTAGGCATACTACAAACATATTGATAAATATAATGATTGTTGCATTGGGTGTATATAACTTTTGCCATTATGCTTTATATGATATGAAATGTGTGTAAAAACAAGAATGTCTAGCTTGAAATGATTGACTGATTCAAATTAGTTGGAGACATGTTACCATACACAAGAGGGCAGGATGACGATTTCTTTTATATAAGATTTATCGTGTACTCCTCAATGATATGAAAAATGAGGAATAAGTAGACTGATTGATATGATATGACATGTCGATGGGCAGGAGCCAAGAAATGACAATTTCTTACATAAAAGTCACCTAACTTGAGATTTATCATATGAGACTGATTTCTGAAAACATTACTGATATGATTGAGACTAATTCCTGTGGGGTTATCCTAAAGGAGTGTATAAAAGAAAAATATAAGTAGCCAGGTATTCGATCTTACTTGCATATGCATATGATATGAGTATACAAAATGAATTGCATAATTGACATGATATAATATGACATGCACATGATACAAGACATGATTGATACAAACACATGATACAATTGATAAAATTGATATAAATACATCTAAACATATGAATCACATGATATATATTGCATTTATACATGATATGATACTTGATATACACATGGTTTAAAATTGCGCAATATGAGGCTCGCCTTGAGGACCGTCTTTGTGCAATTCCAGTAAAAAACGCCTCGATGCTTAAGCCTCAAGTTTTTTTATGAGGCTTGCACCTCAACTTGATTGAGGCCCGCCTCGCCTCACGCTATATATATTAAAACTTACATAAATCTAGAAGTAAATGCCCGACATTGGACTCTATAGGAAAGGAGGCAGGGGAGAGAGCAGTTCACCATAATGATGATTCAAATGAAGAACCCCTTAGTGATGACAGTGTTGATGACTTTAGT